CAATCCTCATAAACTGTTTCACTATACATTTTACTTAACAAAACCAAACTCCTCCCTGCTCCCGGTGGATGGGCTCTCACTAGTCTTCAAAGCCAAATTCAAAAGCCACTTCCAGGGCGCTGCTTTGTCCTTCGCTGCGAGTGCGAGTCCTCGCCTCTCTCTTAGGGGTGCCCATCTCATCCTCCTAACCAAGTATCTCCCATACTTGATTGTACCATCTTGGAGAGCAGAGACTGATCCTTCACACTGCCTTTGACTTAGAGTAAGGACTTAGCAGCCTGATATTGAATGGATTCCATTCGGGCCAAGTCAGTCACCTTGCTCAAAACGCTTGCATCATTTCCCTTGGATTCTGGCATACCAGCATTTTCCCAATGGCCCATTCCAGCCATCCCAGCTATTGGTCAATTGCTCAAAATCACCATGCTTCTCTCCTGTCAGAGCCTTCGACATTTACTCTTCTCTCTCTAGAAAACCACACCACTTCACGCACCACCACCCACCTCATAACCTCCCTACTCAGCCTCAATCTCGTAAAGAGGCATGTCTGAAACCCAGAGGAGGTTCCTCTCCTCTGACACATGCCTTCACAGCCTGCCCCCAACTTACTTCACCTGCATAGCATTTACCACTGAGTGAAATGACATGGTTGTGTGACTGCCTGATTAATGGTCTCTTCCCCACCAAACTGTACACTTCAAACAAGCAGCATGCATGCCTGTTTTTGCCTATATTTGTATCTTCTGCACAGTGCCTAGCCACACCACTGAATAAAGAGCTGTCAAATGACTGACCTGAGGAAATCACGGAGTTATTAAGGTTAAGGCTAGGGATTTTTAGTAAACAAAACTTTTGCCTGACGCCCTAGAATTCCCAGGCAATCTGACCTTTTATTCACCATACAAAATTTCTAAAATTGGATGAAGACTGTCCCTAAGTGCTGGATGGAAGCAAGCCATGATTACATTTCTTGAATGAACGACAGCCCCCAAAGTCATAATTAAAAAACAACCAATTCATTCATTCAAATAATGACTAAGTATTAAGCACCCACACTATGCCAGATAGTGGGATGGGGCTGATGATACAATAACCTGGCTGATACAGCCCATCCCCACTTAGAACATATAATCTAGCAGTGAGAAACGATAGGCAAATGTAGTTTTTTAAAGGAGGGGAGACTTTATATATAGCAGTCACAGCATCCAAATAATGATATTTTTGTGTGGGTGTAAGTTCTTTATCTCCCTGCCATTGAGTCAATGTTAATTCATAGTGACCTCTTGTAAGTTTCTGAGACTTTAAATAATTATGAGAGTAAAAAGCCCAGTCATTCTCCCAGGGAGCTGCTGATAGTTTTGAACTGCTGTCCATGTGGATCACAGTCCAACGCATAAGTGACTATACCACCAGGGCTCCTCAAGTTTTTTTTTATAGAAGGCGATAGTCAAGCTGAAGGTAAAGGATCAGCTGACAGATGATCTAGGAATTGGAACTGGTTCCAGTGTGAACCTCTGGAATCAGATGGGCAGGTACTCTAGTCCAAGTGCTAGTCAAAGTCTGATACAAAGAACTGCCCCAATCTATGGACTTTTATTACCAGCTAGCAGCAACACCAGTACAGAAATTGAGCGTAACTAAGCACTTAAAGTTTTCATAGCAATTTGACAGAATCTTTTTTCTGTTGAATCTAATAATAAAAATGTGAGCTTACATTTGGCATGTTTTTATTTTATTTCCAGTAATTGATGGTTGCTATATTTTACTAAAGGAGCCCGACTGACGTAGGCTGCATTGGCCTGCTAGCCGAAAGGTCAGCAGTTTGAAATCACCAGCTGGTCTGTGGAAGAAAGATGAATCTTTCTACTTTCAGAAAGGTTTTCAGTCTTGGAAACTCACGAGGGCAATTCTAATCTGTTCTATAAGGTCATCATGAGTCAGCATTGACTCGGTGGCAGTGAGCTTGGTTTTCGGTTTGGGTATTTTACTAAAGTTATCGTCAGTGATGGATTGGAGGCGGGAGGAGGGACACTTGGTCCTTTACCACAAATAGTTTGACCATCATGACACTAGAGTCAGGCTACTCGAAGAGTGCTCAGTGGGACAGTATTTCAGAATCACCTTGAAGCTAGTCTGAAATGCAAAACCTCAGGCTTTGCCCCAGATTTCCAGAATAACAAGTAACATCCTCCTCATGGGATTCCTTTGCACTTTCCCCTTTGGGAAGCACTAGCCAGAATGACTGTTAGATCCCCCAGAGATTTTATGATTTATATCTGATACAGAATTTCAGAGCCAGAGATTAGAGTTCAACTCTTCATTTTTTTGATGGACAAACTGAGGTCCACGGAAGAGAAGTCATTTGCCCAAGATAACTGGCAAAACCAATCAAGTCAATTAAAAGAGCACGGAACCAAAGCAGTGTGTCTCAGTACACAAGGTAATGCTCCGCCAGAGCACACTGCACATTCGGTTCCTACTGGACGTCAATCCCTTCAGTGAAATTGTTTCTTAGAGTCTTTCTGATCCAACCCATCGCCACAAGGTCAATTCTAACTCACATGGACCATATAGGACAAAGTAGAAGTGCCTGAGAATGAAACTTCATATTTCTCCCACAGACCAGCAGGTGGTTCCAAACCGGTGGTCTTTTGGTTAACAGGCCAACTTGCAACCCACTGAGACACCTAGGTTCCTTAATGAAACTCTTTATTCTTTGCCTTCCCTAGATTGTAGGAACTGGGAATCACCATTCTTTCAAAGGTCTGTTTTAAGATACCCTTAAGCTCTGTCTCTCAAATCTTCCTAGCAAGGCTGCTCCTTGGTCAATCAATCTGAGGCTTCCTGAAAACTAGCAGCAACCGCCTGGTCTTTACTAGTACGTACACTCCAAGACTTCAGTCCAAGACACAGAGCAAGCACTGTCAGGGCTGCTTTAGGAAATGGTATGCTGTGCCGAAGGCTGACAAACCAGAATGTGAATTAATAAATGTTATTAATAAAAGTAGTCCCCAGAATGAGGTAAAGACTGACCCCTCTGGGGTCTTGTCATGATGGCTGTGTTCAACTACCTGAAGACCTAGTCCTAATTAGAAATTTGTTTCCTGAAGACTCAGTGAGTGGAAGTTACCAGGAGACAGATTTTGACTTACGGGGATTGCTTTCTAACAATGGAACTTGCTAAAGGCTAGGAAGCGCTCTGACACTGTTAGGAGTTCAAACCCACCACACGGATCTAAGACACATTCAGGAGCTGGGTGGAGAAGTGGAGCCTCAGGATCTTTAAAGAGTGTACCATTCCCAGATTGGTAATTTGAAAATGATCGGTAAAGGTGCCTCTACACACACAGGATATGCAAACGACAGGGGAAAGAAGTCTCCCAAGCTGGACAATAGAAGCCTCTCCAGAAAACTCGAATATGGCTTGAGTGCACAATGACCAACCAGCCTGTCCCCCTCGAAGTTCCTGCTACTCTACACAAAGGCTTTCTCAAAATTATGCCAAGCAGCATCCATCCCAGCATCCCTACATCTGCCCAACAGACCAAAGAGTTCTCCCCAAGGAGATCGCAGAGCTTAGTGGTTAAGAACGTGAATTCTGGGACCAGGGTCCCTGTATTGTCATTCCCACTCAGGAAACTTAATTACACTGTCATCTTAGACAAGTAACTTAACCTCTCTCTTCCTCAATTTCCTCATCTGTAAACCAAGGTTATGAATAGTGTCTGCAGGCGTGTGCGAATCTACTCCAGTGGCACTGGCTTTGCCTCATAGACTTGAAGCGATAGGTAATTAAGTGCTCAGTGGCTGCTAACCAATAGGCCAGCAGTTTGCTGAACCTATGTATCTCTCTGTGAGAGCAAAGACCTAGTGATCTTCTCTGGACCCCCCAGAGAGCAGGGTCTCTGGGGTCAGAAGCCTCTAAGGGGCAATGTTTGCTGATTCCTTGGTTGGTTGGTTGGTTGGTTGGTTGGTTGGTTGGTTGGCTGGTTGGTTGGTTGGTTGGTTGGCTGGCTAACTAGGCAATATTAAACTCCAGCCCAAGCCCGGAAACATACTAAGCCCTCAAAAATGTTACCAATCAGTATTGCTGATGCTATAGTTACTACCACAGGCATGACAGTGTCACTTCCTTAAGAAGTCCCCTCTCAAGTAGCCAGACCATGCACACCCTGAATCCTGCTGGCTCACCCTGATCCCTTGCGATTCCAAGAGCTACCCCTCCCCCAGTCCACAGCCACAGCCAGAGGCCAGTTCCAGGACAACCCACCAGGTGTTGCCTTCCCTCGGGCCACGCGGGGCCCAACACCTTGTGGCCACTCAACTCCCTAGGATGAGGGGGCGGGGCGGGCAGCAGGGCTGGAAGCCTCCAAGTTTGTGGAGGAACTCAGGCCCAAACCCACAGTCAACCCTGGTGAGGAAGCGGGTAGCTATCCACCTCTGCAGGAAGCAGTTATTTACAACTTTCTACTCACTTGCAACTGGGGGTGGGGCAGGGGGAGATGGAGAAGGGGGCTGCAGACTAGCCTCCCACCTCCTTTCCAGTGGGAGAAGCAGCTGCACAGAAAGAGTTAAAGGAGGAAGGCAGTTCCAGCCATTACCCCATCCCTGGTGCCCAGGGCTGTCTAGAGGGTCATGGCAGTGCGGCCCCTCTGGCTAGGGGCCACTCCGTGCTTTTCTGCAGCAGCTGCCTGGCCCCCCAAGCAATTTGCAAGGTCAAGGCTGACCTGCTTCCAAAGAGGAACAAAACAATTCCCTGACAATGAGGCAGATCGCGACTACACCACCTCGCAGCCGCCCCTCCCCAAAGCGGGTTTCACCCCCGTGCCTTCCTGCCCAGATGCCGCGGCTGGGCTGCCGCCAGCCCCGCCAGGGACCCAGGCGGGCATCCCAGCTGCAGAGCAGGTCCAGCTCCCCGCCAACCCCAGAGAAGCTGGGCACCCGCGAGGTGCTAGCGCTGAAGGAGACGGGCTGGGGGAGGGAGCCATCTCGGTGCTTACCCAGCGCCACGGCACTTCCCGAGCAGAGAGCCAAGGATGAATGAACTGAGACAAGTTGGAGGCTGCGCCCTGCCCAAGCCAGGCTCCTCTTCTGTTCCCTGGGTCTCTCTCCAGGTCCCTCGCGGTCGGTCTGCGCTGGGCTCGCTAGCTTGCGCGCGCTCGCCCGCCCTCTCTCCGTCTCTCCCTCCCCTCCTCCCCTCCCCCTTGCTGGCTTTGGGTTCACCACTGAGCACGCGGCCAGGCTCGGGATCTGGACGGGTTTGGGCAAAGACTAAAGTAGTATTTTCTTCAAGGTACCCAGTAGAGAAATTGCGGGAAGCTCCCAGGGAAGGGGAGGAGCAGAGGAAGCCAGGGGACGAGAAAGAGAGCAAAAAGGGATGAGCATCTGGGAAGATAAAGGAAGTATGGATCACCACCAAGGCTGTGTGATGGTTACTTGCTGCTCCAAGACCCAGGAGGGGTGAGCTTGCTCCCTTCCCGCCCTGCTGGCACACTCTCTTAGCCCTGGTTCCAAATAAAGAAAGGCTTGGCAAGCCTGTCTGTTCAGATTCAGGCTCTGAGGACAATAATGAGCTTAAAAAAAAAAGATGCACATCAAAGGCGTTGTCATTCACACTCTGCTAAGAATAAAGAGTTCAGCCACATTGATCCCCCAGTGACCTAACTTCCACCCCCAACAGAGATTCCCTTAGGCTAGACAAACAAAGCCACATGGTGTTCCCTCTCCAGTCACACCCCCCACCCCCCAACTGGAATATAAATGTGTGGAAGTATGTGGGGCTACAATGTTAGTCTGCCAGAGGAACAAGGTGGAGCAAGGAGATTGACTGACTCAAAGTAGGAAGGAATTATTTTCTCATTGGGGCAAAAGAAACAGAAAACCTGGGCCAAGTGCAGCAGGGATGGAACACTGAATAAGAGTCCTAGATGGAAAATAAAATAAGGAAAAGTAGGTTTGAGTCCTACCTCTGAAAACGGCACTCCAGTGTTACCTTGGACAAGTCACTTCTCAGTCTGGTCCTCATTCACCTCAATGCTGAAATGAATGGGAATGAATGTAGGGGATCTTAAAAGGCACATCAAAACGAGCAATCCTGATTCTGAAGACAGGAGAATCCCAGGTGAAGAAAGGACTGATCCTTGGAGAATGGAAATGAGACTAGTAAATTTCAGAAGGCTCTCTCCACAGGAGAGTCCCAAATGGGATGCAAAATGATGTTGACTCAACATTCTATTTTAAGTATTTCAGAAGCAATATAAATATGCACATATGGGCCAAGTGCTGCTCTTAAAAAGCAATCCAGCTTCCACCTATGCTTAATGCTTAGCATAGAAGGGTTCCTAATCAATCCCCATCTCCATGATTGACAATGAGCTATTTTGTGTGCTTTAAGTGTGTTCTTGTCATGGTGTGCTTTATAGTTAATTCTGACTGACAGTGGTCTCATGTGATAGAGCAGAACTGCCCCCACAGAATTTTCTGGGCTGTCATCTTTACAGAAACAGATCACAGCAGAGGGACTGCGTGGGGTTGACCCACCAAACTTCACACTGGACTGGTCTCAGTACGCATATAGTTCCAGAGATACAGTAAGCAATTTAAAAGTTTCCCACAGTGTATTACATCTATTTAAACTACCATTCTGTTGAGTTTACCTCCAAATTTCTAATGCTCTCTATTACTGCCCAGTCAGGCTTGCTTACTCTGTGCCAACTACATACTTCAGAAGCATGTACCCATAGGTTGAGGATGGAGAAAGATGGGGACTCATAGATGCAGAGTCACTGAGCTGAAAGGACACATCAAGTTAATCATTTCATTGCACAGAAAGAAAAGTTGACCTGAAGAAAATATATCATCATGCACCAGAGATCCTAGTGAGTCTCTGGCAAGGTCAAGAGCAGCATCTATTCTGTTGCTCCCAGGTCCAGTGGTTTGCAACGTGTAAGTATTTGTGCACAAGGCAAAGACCAATATGGGTTATACACACTTCCTCCTATATAAGTGCATATATTTGTGCAAAGCTTTGCGTCCATAGATGCTTATTGGATTTAATGGATTAATAACATGACAAAAAGAAATGTTTTTAACTGTCATAGGGTTTCCCACTTTCAATTTTGCCAAATAAAGGTACTATTCACACAAATAAACCACCAAGGGTATTATCATTCTTCTACATGAATTTAACACAAAGAAGTTGGAAGGAGAAATTCTCATAACAAAAGCTATCATTAAAATCATACAATTTTAGCTGTGTGAAAAATTAATAACATCTTCATAATTGTTCTCATTTCACTGCAAACCACAAGAAACTTTACAAGGTTCACTTCTAGTAATGGTAACGCAGCTTCTACAGATCAATCGGACTGCAGATAATAATGATAAACTCTGGACAACATATTTGTTTATAAAACAATCTGAATGCCACAGAAAGCAACCCTAAGCAGACATAAGTAGAAGGGAGTTGACATTTGAAAGAGAGAACTATACCCGGTGAGTTTCCCACTTTTCTAAGACTTTTTGCCTGAGGGCAGGCCCCAGTTCCAAAGCATTAACTAACACTCTAGAAAAATTGGAATACAGTGTTGTTCCATATTGAACAACTGACTCTCCAGGAAACAAACAAACCGAAAACCTTATTTATAGTATTTTCCAATGTCCATGGTGTAAATACTCCTACCAAGAACCTAGACGTGGGAAGAGACACGTACTGTTGCTTCTTACAAGCCAGTGCTAACTGTCCCAATGCCACGAAGAGCCAGAAGACGACCACCACAGCTGGAAAGTCAGGAGAGAAATCCAAGAAAGGAGAGAACCACAGAGTGGGGACTCCAGATTCTGTATATAAACCCTGCCCAAATCACTGGTAGAACTATTGACTATGCATGTTGGCACAGATTCCAAACAGTTCAAATAATGCTGAAAGAATTAAACAGTGCTGTTTACAAGAGATTCAAATTTTAGAGTTTAAGTTCAGCCAACATTAACTGCCTCTCAAAGCAAAACTCAATATTTCCCAGATGAATAAAATGAAAACGAATAGACCCTATAACATCTCTCACTATATCCAGGATGCGCATGCACACACACACACACAACAACAACAACAACAACAACAACAACAAACAGGAAAATGTTATCTCTACTCAAGGAAAAAACATGAACAATGGAGACCTGCCTAAGATGGACCAAATGTTGGAATCAGCCGAAAAGGATTTCAAAACATTACAACCTAAGGAAACCCTGTGAGGCATTTTCCTTTGTTGTAGAAGATAGCTATGAGTGAGAAGTAACTCTGCTTCACACAACAACAGCCATAACTACATTAATCAACATAAAAAATATGCTTGTAACAATTGAACAAGTAGGATCATATCAGAGAAATAGAAACTGCTTGAATTAATCGGATGCAAATTCTAGAACATGCACTATCTGAAGTAAAAGTGATGAGATGGGTTTAGCAGCAGGTTGGAAAGACACCCCATTGCCCTCACAAGATCAGGTACTGGCTTTTACCACTCAGTCCAACATCGTACCAGGAGCACTAGTCATAGCAATTAGTCAAGAAAAAAACAGTGAAACCACAAAATCAGAAAGGAAGAAATAAAATAGAACTATTCACTCACAAAGTCATAAAGAAAATTCCAAAGAATCCACAAGAAAATGTAGAGGTAATGAAGTTTCAAAGTACAAAATCAACACTTTTTTTGTTTGCTTCCTTTTGTGTTGTGTATGATTTTCTATATATGAAATTAAGGATAGGTAAATTCATAGAGACAGTAACTGGATGACAAGAGACATTGGAGAGAAATGGAGAGACTGAATGATTACATTTTATGATATATGAAAGATATGTCAATATACCACAGTGAACAATCCAAAGGAGAAAATTAGAAAACAATTCCATTTACAATAGCATATAAAGTATTAAAATACCTACAAATAAATTTAACCATGAAGGTCAAAGACTTGTACACTGAAAACTCAACTCAAATACCTGGAAAGACAACCATGGTAGACTGGAAGATTTAACCTAGTTAGGACATGAATATAATCAAAGTAATACACATTCAGCACAATTTCTATCAAACTCCCAACAGCCTTTTATATATAAATGGAAGTCAACTGTAATACTCATAAGAAAATATTCATAAGTATTTTTTAATTACACGGTCACATGTAAACAAAATTATTTTGGAAAAAAAAGAACCGGTTTTCAGGGATCATTCTTGCCAATTTCAAATTTCACTGTAAACAAAACACTATGGTACTGTCACAAGAATAGCCAGATGAATCAATAAAATAGAATTTCAGAATCCAGAAATAAACTAAAACATCTGTGGTCAATTGATTTTTTTTACAAGGAGGCCAAGACCTTTCAGTTGGAGAAAGAACAGTCTCAACAATAGGTGTTGAAACCACTGAATTTCCACATGCAAAAGATTCAAGCTAGACCTATACCTCACACCATGTATTGAAAGTAACAGAATAGATGCACAACCTATTTCTAAGAACTAACACCATACGACTCTTAGGTGAAAACATGCGGGTGAGTTTTCATGACTTTGTATCTTGTCCCTGGATTCTTAGACACAATACCAAAGTACTAGGAACAAAAGAAAAAGAAAGTGATATATTTGATGAGGATGAGTGCTATATCCAGACTGTAAAAAGAACTTCTAGAACCCAACAAAAACAAGCAACTCACTTTTAAAATGGGCAAAGGAGTTGAATAAGTATTTCTTCAAAGAATACATGCAAACATCAAATGTCATTGGTAGGTGCCATAGCTACCCTATGTACGAAAGAATGAAACAAATGTCCTTCGCCATTTCTCACAGTTGTTCTTATGTTTGAGCTCATTGTGACAGTCACTGCGTCAATCCATTTGTTGCAGTCTTGATAATTTTTTATATCCCTCTACTTTACCAAGCATGATGTCCTTCTCCAGGGACTGGTCTCTCCTGACAACATGTCCAAAGTATAGGAGACTAGGTCTCGCTGTCCTTGCCTCCAAAGAGCTTTCAGGCTGTACATTTACCAAAATTTGTTTTTGTTCTTTTGGCAGTCCATGGCACTTTCAATATTCTTGGCCATCCCCGTA